ACAGAGTGGTGCCAGAAACCCGACTGCCTTCTCCCAGAACAGAAATGGGACTATCAAGAAGGCCCACCAGATGATCATGCCCTCCTGAACCAACCGTTGACCTGATCATGTACCTAGGACCCCCTACCCTTATTTTTGTCCTTAAAAAACTCCTGTAACTCCTCAGAGAGACCAGGTCTTTTCAGCACACCGTGCCTGATCTCCTTGCTTCCAACATTACAATAAAGCTGCTTTTTCCTTCATCACATCACTGCCTAGTTTGGTTTGCAGTGTTTGGGAGAGCAAACTCGATTTCTGTTCGGTAACGCGCATTATCTTTACTGCCCAATCGAGCATTTAAAAATGTGAAAGGGCTATAAACAATCAGTGCATTCTAATGAACAGAATTGACCAGGGCAATATTTCCAACCCCTAACATCTTACCGGATGGAATCATCTGTAATACTTGGTGTTAGGTTCTGAAGAACTAGGAGTCTTTTCCCTTCTTCCCTATCTTCTCCCCCTCTCCCCGTCCCCAAAGAACCCGGTCACGCTCGCCTTTGTCTCCCGAGCCACGAAGAGCTCCAGCAGAAGAAAGTTCCTCCCGTCTTTCCCAGAGGAAGGAAGGAAGGCATCTTCCCTGGCTCCAAGGCCCGGCGTCCTCCGAGTCTCGAGGGCCGACCCCTCTCGGGGCTCAGGTTCTCCGTCAGAGCGTGCTCCGGGAGGCCTGGCGCCGCCTCGGGCTGGCTGCTTTTCGACCGCGTCCCACCGAAGTCTGCGATCTTTCCACGTTGGTGACCTCCTTGACAGAGCTTCGCACTTCCAATTTTTTTATTTGAGGGGGGGCGGTAGGCGATGATAAACCTGGGTCTGGAGACTTATTTTGATCAATAGCACCAGATGCGGAGTCAAGCGCCAGACTCGGGAGGGGGATCAGTCAGCCGGACTCCTCAGACGCCAGAGTTTTCAGACGCCGCTAGCCTGCTGGATTTGGGGCAGGTTCCAGCGGAAACAGGAGTTTTCTGTTCATCGCTTTTGGCCGGAGTTTGGCGTAATTAAACCAAAACAGCTTCTTGAAATTTTACCTTTTCCAACGTATGAATTGGAAACGCAACATTCGACCGGCACGAGTGCAGGGTCCAATAAGGGAACTTCAGGGAGGGAGCATTGGGTCATTCAAAGGCCGAACGCCGCAAGGTGGGGAAATCTAGGACCAGCCAATGGCAGGACGTATTAGCCTAAGGGCCCGCCTCAAGGGCGCGTCCAGACCCCAGGCAATAGTGATTGTGATTGGCGAAATTAGGCGGAAAGCTCGCGTTGCCTCAACCACCACGGATTTTGATTGGTTGTAACAGAGACACAACAGCTTTTTCTATAGTCCAAACCTCCGCCCTAAAAGGCGTTTCATAACAGGTTTACGAATTGTAAGGCAAGCGGTGATTGGCCAGGGCGCTCACGGATTCTGTCGGTAGTAAACATAGTGAGGCGCCTGGGACCACGGATTGGTCAGATTTTTCGGGTCGAAGACATTCCTCCGGATTCCGCGCGTTGGCTGGCTGCACTCCTGACCTGGGGCCCACCCTCCCATTTGCTAATTGGCTGCAGTCTAGTCGTGGGGCGGAGGAAAGAAGCTGAGTAGACAATCTTGCATTGCGTCACTTCCGTTTACTGTCGGGCGCCGCCGTGGTCTCCGCGTG